TTCCACATTTGGATACAACGATTCGAATGAAAAAAGAGAGAAAAATTTTTTTTTTTTTTCTTTTGGATCCTTGTGAAATGATTTGTAGCAATAATGGTAGTGGTATGTAATGAATGATGGTAAGGAACAGTTTTTTTTTCGAAGTTTTTTTTTCGTGAATAGATTCGATTGAAAAGTTGAACGACAACAACAACAACAAGACCGACCGTTGCCAGTATGATAGTTGTTGTTGCCGAGTGAAGATATCATCATCAATGGTAATAATGCCGAGTAATCATTTTCCATCAACAAAAAATTTTACTCAATTTGTAATGTAATTGCTAAAAGGTTTTCTGTTTTCTGTTTGTGTTGTTTTTTTTGTATTGCTGAGAGTGAGTGAGTGAGTTGCGAGTGTTTATGTGTGAGCTAGTTCGATTTGTTTTTTTTTTGTCTGTGCTGCATTTGTAAGAACACTCAAACAAACAAAAAATCAATTTCATCATCGTTGTTATATTAATCAACAATATCGATATCTTGAAGATAAATTCAAATGTGGATAAATACCATCATCCAACAGCTTCGACAACGAAGAATTGCCATTTTTGGAAAAAGATAACAATCAACCGAAAAAAAAGACCATTTGATTGTCATCATTTATAACGTGTGATTTATTCAACAGAACAAAAAAAAAATCCAGGAAGAAGTTCGCGAACAATCGAATTGAACCGAAGAAAACATCATATTCGATGATCCGATTGTGATTTTACTGTATGGCCCTTTCGTTTTCTGTGTTTGGTTGCTGCTCATTATCAAAACCAAACCTCGAAGAAGATTTTTGAAATGTAACTAATTAATATCGAATGTTTTTTGACATTTCATCATTATCATCATCTTCGAAATTGTCTTCTTGTCACATAAAAAGTATTTGGTATTGTCATTCAAAGGGTTGTCAACAAGATTGAAGATATTATGATGATAATCGATTTTGTCATCATTGATCAAAGATTAAAGATCTATTTCTAAAAGTTTGTCCTTTGTTTGTTATTATTATTATTTTCTTTTCTTATTGATGAACATCCTATAATAATCTGAAACATCGGACACTGACATCAATCAATCAATCAAAGTGTGAATTGTATTGAAGCAATTGATAACATTCAAGTGTATGGATTTGATTATTTGATTTGATTTGATGATTGTCAACATCAAATTATCTGTTGTTTATTATAAAAACGCTAATAATTATTGCTACAATATATCTACCTACCTACCTACCTTTTCTGGAATACCTCTCTACGATAAAAGTCTTTATATTTTTTCTTACGATTGGCAACAAAAAAAAAACGCTTGGAAATCCTGAAATTTGTGATGCCCAATTGATTGTCGGCCTATGAAAACTCTGAACGAAGAAAAAAAGATACAACTTTCTTCTAAAACCTTTGGAGATAAAATCGATTGTGATCCGAATAACAAAAATCTATTGAAGAATCGCCAAACAAAAAAACTAAAACTTTTTCTAATGCTTGAATTCAATCAAAATAATCCATAGTTCTCATCATTTGACTTGACTGAATTGGTTTGATCGTGAGAAGTATTGCCTAAATTTTTGTTGTTTTGTTTTTATATATGAAAATCGTTAAATTTTCTTCTTTTGTTTTGGCTCATTATTTTCTTTAAAATATCACGAATGAATCATTTTGAACATCGAAATATTGTCATTCATCAAGATATTATAGAACAAGCAAGAAAAAATATAGAACATACACAACAGCAACAACATTGATCATTGTTTTCGTTGATTTTTTATTATTTTGGTCTGTTTTTTTTTTCGTTTCGTTTTTTTCATTCTTAAATCTTCTGGTTTATATTATTAACGACAACAAATATTATTCATTGCTGCTGATCTCTGTACAATTTTTGTATCAAAAACAACAAAAATCGAATCATAAATAATAGTTAGAATTGCGATCAAAAATATCAAGAGTAGTGTGGTAGATTTGGAAATCAATTGGCCTTAGTCATATCTGATTACAAGATTTTTTCTATTATAAAAATTCATTCATCAATCAAAGAGAAAGAAATTATTTTATATTATCATCATTGTTATCATTAATCCCATCCTCATCTGCATCATCATTATCGAAAGAATTTGGTCAAGCTGAAAAAAAATCAAGATTCAAGTTCTCGATCTCATCATATATATTGAAAGAAAACAAAAAATTGTGAGCTAATTTTTATATAATTTAAAAAAAAGATATTCTTTATTGCAAGAAGTGTGATACCATTTTCAAAAAAACCAATTGATAAAACAAAAATCATTTTCAATCCTCAACAACAAAAAAAAATTATTGATTGTCCATTTCGAAACAAACGAAAAAAAACCTGTTTTCATTATTATTATTATTATTAATCAAATCACCTAAAACATCATTATCATTCTTGTTCGATTTATTGATTGATTGATTGCCCGAGAAGATTTTCTAGAATTTTGGATCGTCAATCTTTTTTTTCTTCTTTTGCTCAGCCTGTTTTTGTTTTTTTTTCGTTTCTTCGTTATATAAACTTACCACACACACACAATTTGGTGCACGGAATCGGAATGGTTTTTGCTTTTGAAAAATCAAAAAGACAACAAGCAAACATCAACATTCATCATATTCATTGAAGAAGTTTTTATTTTGTATTGATCTTTTTTTTCAAGATTTATTTGTTTTGTTTTTCTTTTTTATCAAAAAAATTATTGTTTTTGGTCCATCAATTATCAACCATCATCATTATCATCCACCATTGATTGTCATCGAAGAATCGCAATTGCAAATTGCGCAGCACAAATAAATTTGTCATTCAAAATACATTTTGAAAAGGATAATCTTCCTCTCTGGAAATTCTGGAATTGTAAAGAAAACACTATCATACTGGACATTTTGTTTTTGTTCTTTTCTTTTCTTTTCTTTTTTTCTATTTGTTCCACAAAAAAATTGTGATAAAAATTCATTATTACGCACACATACACACACAACATACTTACATACACACCTTCATATGCAAAGATAATTATAACCCACACTTATTTTTTTGGGTGAACGAAAATAATATTTTGTGAATGAATATTGGATCGAATCTTTGGCAAGAAATTGATTCCAACAACAAAAACAACGAATCGTACCGGTTGAAATCACCTGTTCACCACCACCACTACCATCTTTGCCAAATAACAAAACCACCAAATCATCCATCCGGCTTCAACAATCATTGGCTGATTGATTGATTAGTGAAATTTAACGAAAGATAAGAACAACAAAAAAACATTATGAAGATTATTGATATTAGTAACGATAATAACGAAAATAACGTAGACGAAGATAACCAACAACAAGGTATGTGTTTCTTTGAAATTTTCTTTGGTTTCCCAATTTTTTTTTTAAACAAAATTATTTGAAAAACAGTTTTTATCATTATTTATTTTATATTTCTTGGCACACTTGCCAGCAACAAAATTAAAAGTCTTCAATTCCATTCATTTCANCAAATCCATCCGGCTTCAACAATCATTGGCTGATTGATTGATTAGTGAAATTTAACGAAAGATAAGAACAAAAAAAACATTATGAAGATTATTGATATTAGTAACGATAATAACGAAAATAACGTTGACGAAGATAACCAACAACAACAACAAGGTATGTGTTTCTTTGAAATTTTCTTTGGTTTCCCAATTTTGAAAAACAGTTTCTTTTATCATTATTTATTTTATATTTCTTGGCACACTTGCCAGCAAAAAAAATTAAAAGTCTTCAATTCCATTCATTTCATTTCAATTCCTCCCTTTTTCTTTTTCTTTCTCTTCTGTTCATCGTTTTCGTCGTCGACTGGCAATCATCTTGTCCCTTTAATAATAAGCCAAGGCTTTGGGCTTTTGAAGACGATAACGATATCGAGAAAGAAAAGAAAAAAGCCAGTCAGACTGGTGTATGATTTTTTTTGTTTTGTTTTTGTTTTTGTTTGTATAGAAGAAGAGGGAATTGCATATATACATAGAATGTGAATAGGGATAATAATAATAACAGACACAGCTGCTTGCTTGCCTTGCCTTTCCAAACATTGTTGATAGACCAAACCGAATTGGAGCCACCATCTCTCTCTTCTTTTTTTTTCTCCCACATATCACTATGAAATGAAATGATTATAACTTGTGTCTATATATACACGGAGTTGTTGTATTGTTGAAGTTTGGTTTGGTTTTTTGGTGGGGCAAAGAAACAAAAATCAACGAAAGATTTTTTCTGCCCTGCCAAAAACAGCCGATCTGGTACGCTGGTGTATGTTTGTGTGTATCACGTAGGCCATCACTTTGGCCAATGCCTAATGTGTAAAAATAAAAATACACTATATATTCTGGCAAAAATGAACACCCCTGGTCTCTATGGCCTAGAATGAACGCATCCAAAAACACCATTTAAATTAAGGTTTACAGTGTGTTTTGACTGTTTGTCTGTCAAATATATAATAACGATGATTTTTGTTGTTTAGGGAAAAAAATCAACCAGAATTTTTCATTAGAAACACACACACACAAGCGCTTATTGATACCGTTGAATAATGTAGTTGGAAAAAAATAGCCATTTTCTGGACCAACAAAGGGCCCAAAAAAAATTATTGAGTATGCGCTCTTGTTCGTGTGTGGAATTGGTCAAGGTTTTTCAGTTTTTTATTATTTCTAATTTTATTTTATATTTAATTCACCTGACAACAATGACTGGATGAACTTTAACCTTGGAAACAGAAACTAAAATAACCTGTTAATATTACAATGTTAATTCTTTTTCTTTTTTTAAAGAAATCAACATCTTAAGAGATGGCCCGTCTAACCAGGTTCAATTACAAACTTGTTGTTGTTGTTGTTCAAGTGTTGCCAGTTTTTTTTTGATATATTCAACTTGTCTTTTATATGACCGTAAGGTATAATATAAGAGATGAAATTATTATTAAAATGAATATGGGGCTTGGTCCGGTTGAGATGTTACAAAAAAAAAGGGAATTTTTCTACATTTAATAATTGCCATAGTGTGTGAATTGTTTCAATGATTTGTTATATGGACAACAAAATGATGCTATGTTTAAAGTAAAGTTATATAAAGTTTCTCAAAGAAAACTCTTTCGTTGTCAATCATAAAATTCACATGATATGATGATGATTGGCAATGAAACAAAACAAAACAAAAAAAAATTCTGGTTTTCAGTGGTTTCTGATCAAATGATGATGATGATGTCTATTTTATTTTTAATAAAAATTCAATACATTTCCTTGCAGAAAAGACTTTATATATAGTTTTTTTTGGTTATGTAATAAATAGAAATATTCTGTAAACAGCTGTATGCTATGTTTGTGTTTGTGTTAGTTGCGTTGGAGAGAATAAATAAATGAATGAATGAATGTTTGTGTACCCCATTCTTTCAAGGCCTTTTGATTGAACACAACAGCAAATGCAACATTATATTATAAGAATGACGCCGTCGCATTACACTAGATGGAATCCTGGTATCTTTTAGTTGTTGTTTTTTGTTGTTTTATTTGGGAAATGAATGAAATAATAATAATAATAATAATCTATAGATGGAAAATATAGGAAAATTGAAAATGTCCTTGACAATGACTTTCTTCTGATGATGATGATGGTGGTGTTTAATAATATAAACGAAAGATGAAATGTAATGTTTGGGAGAAGGAAAAATGAAAAAAATAAAAGTGTGTTATATAATGTTGTCGATTTGACTGCCTTTTAATATTTATGGTGAAATAGATTGAATGGATAGAAGCTGGTATGACAACAATCAATGTGTGTGTGTGTGTGTGTGTATTTGGTAATGGTTGATTTTCTGGTTATAAATAATGGTATATGTTTGGTTGGTTGGTTGGTTGGTGTGTGATGGTGATAATCTTTTCTTGTCTTGTCCATAAATACAGATTGGCAATGATCATCACGAGATCCAACAAAAAAAAAAAAAAAAAAATGAGAGAGATAGAGTCTTTAGTGTTTATATTTTTAGAATGATCATTTGATGAATGTCTATCATCTAAATAAGAATGACTTTTAACAATTTTGATTGATTTTGTTGTTGTTGTTGTTGTTTTGATCGAAAAAAAAATCAGAAAATAGTCGAATACAATTTTGTCCATAACAAATCGAATGGATCGATTTGAGAAAAATAAAATCGAGAGCATATGATGATGAGAAAAAAATATTTTTGTCTTTATTCATTCATTTTATTTTATTTCATTTCACCTTGATTTTTAAGCAGTTTTTTGGTTTGAGAATAAAAAAACGAAAGAGAAAGATAGATAGATAGATAGATAGATAGATAGATAGATAGATAGATAGAGAGATAGAGAGAAAGACTTTTATATTATCATAATGATGATGATACAGGTTTCATTCAGTTTTTCTTCGTTTATATATTTCACCATGATTAACCATTTGATGGAAATATATTTTCTTCCCAAAACCAAGTCGGCCATTTCAGCCGATAAATATATCCAGCTGAATGGAATGATAATGGTGGTGGTGGTGATAGTGAAGAGAAATCGTTTATTTCGTTATTTTGATTTGATTTGATTGAATGAATGATTTGATATCGATAAGACACCCCTTTTTTTTCGTTTATTTATTTGTTACTTTGCTTATCAATATATCGATTGATTGATTGATTGATTTTGATGATAAAAAGACTAATCATATGACTATGTTGGATGATTTTTTTTCCAAAATTTCCAAAACATCATTCAAAAGTTTTTATCTGTATGATTTTTTTTCCTTTCCATCCATATCTTTTTCTTTCTTTTTCCATCCAAACAATGATGATGATAAATATAGCATAGAGTTTTAGTTTATTTGTTAATAATATTAATAAAGATGAAATATCATTCATTCGATTTTTATTATATTCCTAGATTTCGATGTTTATTGGATTATCTCATACATGATGATGATGATAATGTTTGATTATTTGATCCAAAAAGTAAAGGTATCCACATATAATATAAATATGGATTGTTTTTTATGATCATGTTTCTTTCTTTCTTTTTTTGAACAAATTATTATTATTTGTTCAAAAATCAAACATTATCTATCTATTTGTCTGGCTGACTGACTGACAACAACAACAACAACAACAACCACTGTTTGTGTAATAAAGATTTTGTTTTGTTTTTTGTTTGTTTGGATTGATTTGATTGTCACTATAGTGATATATAAATATCGTTTGAAAATGAAAGAAAATGCCAATTCAGCAATTGGGGATATGATGATAAAAATTTTTACCCAAAAAAAAAAAATCCAAACAAACAAATCAGATCGATGATGATGATGATGATATTAATCGTCTGGTTATGATTGGTGTGAACAATATACACAAACAAACACACACACAGTGTTTGAATGATGATATGGTTTATTACAATTTCGGAATTTATCTTTTTTTTGCCTTGTTTTGCCATGATGATCACATGTTTATTGTGGTAATGATGATGATAATGGTGGTGGTGGTGGTGGTGCCAAAAATGAAAAAAAAGCACTAAAAAATGAAACAGAGACCTGTTGTTGTTGTTATTGATTATTATATGGTGATTTGTCAGTCAGACAGCTTGCCTGGTTGGTTTTTTAAAATGTTTTTTTTTGTTGTTGTTGAATGTTTTCGATGTTTAGCTTGAATGGATGGATGGATAGATTGAAAAAGCCTTGATTCCATTCGAGCATTGAATAAAGAGAAAAACAGGCATTTTTTTTAATTTGGTTAATATTTGTTTCTTTGTACAAAGGTGGTTTTTGTTTCGGAAGAATGGATGGCGCCCCTAACACATACAATTGAAAGCAAAAGTTTTCGGTGCTTTAACATCGTTAAAGCACCGAGAAAGAAGACAAAAAACAGGTTGTGCAATATATTCCTTACACAATTTTGTTGTTGTGTGTTGGACGAACGACTGATTTAATTTCCATGATACTCTTTGTTGTTATCGTTATCGTTGTTCCGTATTTTGTTTTATTGAGAATCATCTGATGTCTTTTCTCCATAAGTATGTACGTTATTATCAAGATAAATCATTGATTTATCATTCAACGAGTATATGGACAGGGGAAAAAAATATCTATTTCTAGTACACACACACACAGAGTCATGTGTATAATGATAATGATGATGATTTTTTTCTTTAAAGTTTATCATTTTTTTTAAACAATTCAATTCAATTCAAACTTTTAGTAATGTATGGCACGTCTCAGGTTGATTTGATTTTGTGATATATTTTCCTCTATAATATTCGTCATTTATTAACTACATTTACCAGTCATCAGAGATGTATCAATAGCAGCAGCAGCAGCAGCTACTAAAAAAAATCTAATAAGCTTATAATAAAGATATGAACGGGGAAAAAAATGTTGTTGTTGTTATTATGATGATGATGATGATGAGAAATGAGATGGAAAAAAATATCAGGCCATTTTTTTTTCTTCTTTGGTGCTTCAATATAAATGTATGTAGTGTTTGTGTGTGTGTGTGGCTGATAATGAATGACAATCATAATAACAAAAAGAAGAGAGAGAGAGAGAGAGAAAAATTTTTCATTATATAAATGGCTGAGCATCAACAATATTGATCGATTTAATTGTTTTGTACGATATTTTTTTATTATTTAGTGGTGATATTTAAAAAAAACATCATCATCATTCGGCTATGATGATGATTTTGAGAAGAGAAGCTAGTCAAAGAAAAAATTTTTGTTTCTAAATTCTGTTGTGTATTCCATTTTTTTTTGTGTATAGATTTTTTTTTATAATTATGTGTTTTTCAACCGAATAATGTTTAGTTTTTGATAAATTTTGTTTTTTTTTCGATTTAAAATGTAATTTTTAAATGATTTAAATAGCTAAAATTGTTTGTTTCTTTAATTGTTTGTTGCTTACCAATTCTTTTATTTTTTTTTTGTCTTTTTTTCTCACTATAGATTTTGCTACAAATCAAAGACCCGAACAACAACAACAACAGCAAAGTATCAATATTAACAACGATAATTTGGAAGACAACGACGACGACGATAATAACGATAGTGAAAAAGAAATGATGGAAGAAGAAAGACAATTTATATTTGAAGATGTTGATTCCGATGATAATGTTAGCGATGATGATGATGATGATAGTGATTCGTTAGAAATATCGACTACTATTAAAAATCATAATCATCAGCCATTATCACAACGTCGAAATAATTATATTGTTGATTTGGTTGATGATTATCCTAATGTTGTTACAAATCATCATCATCATCGTGCCAAAGATTATGGATCTGCTGGTGTACATAAATCCACTGATTCTGGTAATGATGATGATGAAGATGATGATGATGATGATAACGATGCTTTGGATTCGGATAGCCTAAATGATGATGATGGCGGTAGTATGTTACGAATGAGTAATCCGATACCGATACCGGATGAATTTGGAACAATCAAAAATGTTGCTGCTGTTGGTGGTGGTAATAATAATAATCGTACGAAACATCATCATCGACGTCGCATTCATCATCATCGTCGTAAAAAACGAATCACAACAAATATCAACAGCAGTAGTGTTGGAGCCATAAATTTTTCCGATTTATACTACCTCAGCGGTGAAGTACTTGGTGAAGGTGCCTATGCATCGGTACATGAATGTCGTAGTTTTGAACATGACCAAAAACGTTATGCAGTCAAAGTGATTGAAAAAGGTGAACGTGGTCATAGCCGTAGCCGTGTTTTTCGTGAAATTGAAATATTTTTCAAATGTCGTGGTCATCAGAATATTATTCAATTTGTTGAATATTTTGAAGATAATGATCGTTTTTATTTGATTTTCGAAAAAGTGGAAGGTGGACAATTGTTGGCGCATATTCAAAAACGAATTCATTTTACCGAACATGAAGCAAGTCAAATTGTGCGTGATATTGCTAATGCTTTGAAATTTCTACATAGTCGTGGTATCGCTCATCGCGATCTCAAACCGGAAAACATACTTTGCTATTCAGAAAGTCAAGTATGTCCGGTCAAAATATGTGATTTTGATCTGGGATCCGGTATTATTCCATCGGATAGTTCACCAGTATCAACACCGGAATTATTAACACCGGTTGGTTCGGCTGAATTTATGGCGCCCGAAGTGGTCGATGCATTTATGGGTGAAGCTTCTCCCTATGATAAAAGGTAATTGTTATTATTGTCCTCAGCCAATCATTTTGGCTAAAAATTTTTATTACTTTATATTAGATGCGATTTATGGTCGCTTGGCGTAATCACCTATATTTTGCTTTGTGGTTATCCACCATTTTATGGTTGCTGTGGATCTGATTGTGGCTGGGAACGTGGTGAATTTTGTCAGGCATGTCAAGATCAATTGTTTAATTGCATCCAAAAAGGCATCTATGATTTTCCCGAACGAGAATGGGCGTACATATCGGAAGAGGCTAAAGATCTCATTCGTCATCTTTTGGTAAAAGATGCAAGCCAACGTTATACAGCCGAAATGGTTCTCAACCATCCATGGGTACAGTATGGTGGTCCACGTACCTTTTTGCAGACGCCCAAAATTATTCGCCGAAATAATTCAGCCAAAGATTTGGCTGCATTTGCTGAAAGTGCCAATGCTATGAAAAGATTGTTTATTAAAAATCTTTACTCAAATTCGATCAGTTTGGTGGCCGAACTGGGTAGCCAAAATTCGCGTCAAAAATTATTTTCGCACATTGAAAGATCGGATGAAGGTGATTCGGGTACCGATCATGAATGTAATAGTGCCCTTGGTGATGGAAGCGAATCGTATGGTTTACAATTTGCATTGCAACATACATCCACGGATTCGGATGCCACAGCCGCAAGTGGTGGTAGTGATCATTCGCCGCCATTGAAATTTATCTCAAATGATCTCGATTATCTTGTCGTACAGCAACAACAACAGACACAACAACAAAATAATGATGATATGATGAATGATAAAATGTCTACATTTGATTATTATCGACAACGATTACAAATGGAACAGCAACAACAATTTCAACCGGTTGCTCGTGATCGAAATTATTCGTTTGGACAACAACAACAACAAGCAAACAATAACAATCGAATCAATAATCTAACACGTCAGGCAATTTTTCGTAATGGTAAAAATAATGGTCGAATGAATCAACCACCAAGAATTCGTATGACTTTATCGTTGGACCGGAAAAGTATACCCGGAATAGTTTTAATCTAAAACCCGTTCTAAAATATGCTTGTTTTGTTTTCATCAAACAAATTAAGACACCGGTAATGATTTGAAATCGATTCGGTAATATAATATTGAACCCACCTATATTTTCATTCATTAACAAACAAACAAACAAAAAAAATTAGTCTCGAAAAAAGAGTAAGCAAAAAAATAATAATATCATCATCATTATTATCATCAAGTCATTTTGGATGTTTGTGTTTGGTTGTTTGTGCATTCTCTCTCTCTCTCATATTGGATTCTGTGAAACATTCATTCATTCATTCATTCATCTCTCGTCAAACTGAAGGATTGTACTGAATTGATTGGTTGATTGATCATTACTATTGTCATCAATATTGTTATCATATATAATATTCAACATATAAAAACACATTTATAATTAATTACCTTCCACAATCAACCTACTACTACTACTACTACTACTGATTTACTTGTGATTTGTTTTTTTTTCTTTTCTTAATTTTTCATTCATTTTTCACACATACACACAAACAAATACAACAACAACAAAAAAAAAAGATTCAGTTTTTTTCGACAACAATTTTTATATGTAAAACGAGAGAAAAAAAAAGATGGGCCAGAATATATAACAACAAAAGATATGAAGTGTAACAAAACAACAACAACAACAAAAAAAATCAATCATCAGCCAATTCATGATATCATCCACAACAAACACATTGAGAAAAGCTAAAGAAAAAAAAAATATATTTTTTATATGAAAAAATACCCTGATTTACATTATAAGAATGTATGTGTGTGTGGATATTCAATCAAGAATGAAAAAAAAAATGTCAAGCATTTAATCAATCAATCCATCCATCGTTTGTTTGTTTGTTTGTTTGATATTCACATCCATTGATAATCATTCATCACACACATACAAACACACATCACATACATAATATATCGATCGTTGATTATAATTCTTCTATCCTTTCTTCTTCTATATTCTTCTTGTTCTTCATATGATTATATAATGATTATTATTCATCAATTCATTTGAATCGGGTGTTTTTGTGTGTGTGTATGATTATCATCATGATGAAAATAAGATCTGAATTGTGTGATGAAAGATGCAAAGAAACAAAAAATTCTTAACAACCAACACACAAACACCTTTGTTTAATTCAACTCTGGCAATAAATTTGACAAAATCTCTTTTTCATACAACAGTCAAAAACCAATATACAAAACAAACAAAAAAAAAATCACCCAGATCAATCAATCCAGTTTTATCCAATCGCGATTTATATTAGCCGATGGCCGAGTCACCACACCAGTCAAACACACCAAAACCAACCATTTGTTACACACACACACACACACAAACATCATCTATTTTTGTACTGTCAAGATTCTTCTTTTTTTCCTCTTTTTTATACTTTTTCTTTTTTTTTTTGATTGAAAATTTGAAATTCAATTTGTATGTATGAATTGAATATGTGAATTTATTGTATGTGGTGGAAGAAAAAATGGCCAAGATTTTTTTTTCTCTCGATTTTTTTTATCCGAATTTTTTTTTATATAAAAACAACAAACAAAAAAAAAGTTTGCTATGATGATGCATTGTAATTTGAATGATGATAACAACAAAACAAAACAAAACAATAACAATAAGCCACAAATGTTAACAAACAAAAAAGACTGGGTTAGAACTGATTATTTTGTTAGTGTTTTTTTCTTTTTGATTCTTTTGGTTTTTGTTTACCAAAATTTTTTTTTTTTTTGTAATCCATAACCTGTGTGCTGATTTTGTATTTTTTTTATATACGTCAAACAATTCCCAAGTCATGGTTTTCGAATGATGATGATGATTGGTATCCCGAAACGATTGTTTGGTGGTTGGAATATATCATTCATCAAGAATATCTTTCATTCATTTTGCATTTTTGATTTTTGATTTTTGTATCATTTTTTTTTCGTACCAGTATTCGCAAAAAAAAACAAACACACACATCAAACACAAACACTCATCATCAATTGACAAGTTTTTTTTAAAAAAAATGTATTTGAAATAATAATGAATAAAAATGATGAAAATTATAAAAAAAAGTTACAAAATTTGATTTAATAATTTTTTTTTACATTTTTTTAAAAATTTAATTTCGCGAAATTGATTCGAAAATTAAAATACGTTGTTTATTAAAGGTCCCAGGTTTGTTTGTTGATAAACATCGTGAAGATTTGGATTTTTTTTTTGGTTTTTTTTGGATTTTAATTTGAAATTTTTTGGTTGATGAAGATAATGTCGACTGGTGATAATAATAATAATAATTCGAATGCTGAAATTGTTGAACCAAGATTATTTACATTGGAAAAAGATGAAGAATTACGTTTCGAAGTTGAAAATGAACCAGTTGAATGTCAATTGATTGAAGGTAAAGCTGAATTGTTTGGTACCGAACTGAGATTGGAACAAAAATATACGTTTCGAAAAGGAGCTAAAGTTGCCGTTTTTACTTTTCATGGCTGTAAATTAAAACTGTACGGGACACCTGAAGTAGAATATGTAGCCAGCGAAACACCGATGACTATTTATCTTAATCTGGCTAATGCATTGGAAGGTTTACGTGTCGATGCCTGTAAAGAAGATAAACCAGGACCAAATGTTATGGTTGTCGGACCGACCGATGTTGGAAAGACTACATTTTGTCGAATATTACTCAACTATGCTGTACGTAGTGATCGTACACCAATCTATGTTGATCTAGATCTTGGTCAAGGTTCGTTAACAATTCCGGGCAACATTGGCGCTGTTGTGATCGAAAAACCGGCCGATATTGAAGATTCATTTCAGATCACCGCACCAGTTATATTTCATTATGGCCATCTAACACAGAGTAAAAACACAACCCTATATAATATTATTATGAAAGCTTTGGCCGAAGTTGTTGAACGTAAAAAAAATAATGAATCTTCGATTAAATATTCGGGCACTATTGTCAATACATCTGGATGGGTTCAAGGATATGGATATCAATCCATTTTACAAGCTGTTGAACATTTTGCCACCAATATTGTTCTCGTACTTGATCAAGAACGATTGTATAGTGAATTGGTAAGAGATTTAAAATCGAAAAAGGAAATCAAAGTATTGCTTATACCTAAAAGTGGTGGTGTTGTTAGTCGATCTCGTGAATTTCGGTAAGTTTTCCTTCAAAATGAATTATTTCAAATTTTTCAATACTTTAAAAAATCCATTCTTTAGTTCCGAAATGCGTGATCAAAAAATTCGAAGCTATTTCTATGGAACGGAAACAAAACCATTATATCCTTATTCATTTGACATTCCATTTGCTCAATTTACTGCCTATAAGATTGGTTCGCCTAATTTACCTGATTCTTGTTTACCTATCGGTATGAAATTAACAGATAATTCGACTAAATTAATGCCAATACAACCATCATCATCAATATTGAATCATATATTTTCCATTTCATGTTCAACCACTGAACAAGAATTAGACAAAGTTATAACAACAAATATTTATGGATTTATTGCTGTCACTCAAATTCATATGGATCGACAAGTAGTAAATGTACTTTCACCACAACCACGACCATTACCAAAAAATTATATTTTTATTATGTCTGATGTTCAATTTGTTGATTTGGAATAAAAATAAAATTATTTTTTAAAAAATTTTATGCATTTCGTAATACAAGTGTTTAAATAGTCGACACGATGTTGAGCGACTATTTTTATTCAATCGTGAATTTGCTTTTTTTTTGCAACAATCACTGTTGTTTTTTTGTTGACAATTTGTTTTTTTTGTTATTATTTTTTCTATTCAAACTATAATCACTTAATCAATAATGTTTCCATTTAATTTTGAACGTTTTTTACCCGATGTATTTCAAGCAACATACAAATGTTATTCCGTATCAATGTTACCAGATGAACGACAAAATCTGGAAAAAGGTGGAAAAATTATAATGCCACCATCAGCTCTACATACACTTACACGTTTAAATACGGTTTATCCAATGTTATTTAAATTATCGAATAAAGACAAAAATCGTCACACTCATTCGGGTGTTTTGGAATTTATCGCTGAAGAAGGTAAAGTTTATTTACCGTATTGGATGATGCGTAATTTATTGCTGGATGAAGGATCAATGTTACATGTACAAAGTGTTTCATTACAGGTGGCTACATTTTCAAAATTTCAGCCACAAAGTGTTGATTTTCTTGATATTCATAATCCGAAAGCTGTACTGGAAAATGCATTACGAAATTTTGCCTGTTTAACCACTGGTGATGTTATTGCTATCAACTATAATAATAAAGTCTATGAATTGAGTGTTCTGGAAACCAAACCCGGTCCAGCAGTTAGTATTATCGAATGTGATATGAATGTCGAATTCGAAGCACCGATAGGTTACCAGGAACCTAAACGACAGAATAAAAATGATTCGAACCAAGACAATTCAATGGATGATGAAAATGATGCGACCATGATTGAAGATCCAAAACAATTGCAACAAAATCCATTTCAAGGCAAAGGTAATCGTTTGGATGGAAAACAGCCCAAAGAAACTACAACCACAACTAATCCTATGCCAAGAGAAGTGGCAAAAGGTGCACCTGATTATAATTATCAAATTGGAACGATAAAATTCTGGAGACTAAACAATCGGCCAGCTAAATCTACATTATTATCATCATCAACATCATCATCGTCATCTAGTACTGAAACATCAACGGTTGATGATAAAAATAATCAATTCAAACCGTTCATAGGTGAAGGACAGACATTATTTAAAAAGAAAAATGCAACTTGAAATAAATAAAAATATTTGATATTTTTTATTGAAAAAAAAAATAATTTGAGATCAAAGTTTATCTAATTCATTTTATGCAGAAATAGCTTGACTAGTAATTGGCCAGTTTAGTCGACCACGAACAGCATTATCCTTTAATTTTTGTTTAAATATTTGAGCCATCATTCGACGTTTTTTTGCATCATCTTCATTGAATCGTTGTTCATTTTTTCGACAATTTTTTGATTCCGGTAATTTTCGATAAAGTTTTTCAGTTTGTTTACGCATCTGTTGATGAGTAAATACACGTCGATTAATCGGCGGTAATGGACGACTGGTTGATGATTTTTGTTTTAAACATTCATCATTTGTATTATGACTTTTAGTCAGCAAAAAAACTTGTACAATTTCATCTTTTCTTTGTTGAGCTGTTTCGATTCGCAATCGACCATTATCTTTGATTCGTAGTGAACGCATTAATGATCGATGTATAAATCGATGTTGTTTTTGTTCAAATATTTCTGACAAATTAAATGATTGTGTATCATAGATTCGATAATTTTCATCATCGACAAAATAAAGAAACCATGATAATGATCTATTTAAATTTGGACATTCAAAATTATCATCATGTTTTACCGTTTTTTCAACAAAAACGAATGAGGTTTGTACAGATTTATTGGTCATATCATCATCATAATCATTATCATTAGCCATATTTTGTTTGTTTATTTGTCGATTAATTTTCTGTATCATTGATATTGAAGTTTGTAGAATTTTTGTTTGTCTTTCATGTTTGCTAAATAATTTTGTCGTATCCAGGTTATCATAACATTGTTGTTGTTGTTTTTGTTGTTCATACGAAGTAAATGAATGAATTTTTTGTTGCGCATTCAAAATTCGATCAACATTGTTACCATGGTGACAATGACAATTTCTTAATGAATAATTGTTTGCGTCAGATTTGGATTGCAGATATTTTTCTATCCTGATCAGATCATAGTTTAATCGTTTTAAATGATTAATCTGTGAATTTAGAAAATTTTTATGAAATAAAATTATATCCGATAAATGACTATTATCTATCATTGATGATTCATTTTCTCTAATGGTAATTGTATTTCGATGAAATTTTTGAATCGGATAATATTCAGTCAAATCATCGAATTGATCTAAATTCGTTATTGATTCAGATATTTCAGTATTATAATTATTTAATATGACATTCGATTCTTGAGGGATTCCAGATTTGTTTGTCGATGAAACAATATTTTGTTGTTGTTGTTTTTGTTGAATAAAAACATCTTGATTACAAATCGATGGTTTGAATTTTTGACAGATCAAGGTTTTTTCCAATAAATTCTGAACACGATTTGATAGGCAATCATTTGAATCGATACAGTTGTTGTTGATCAATTGATGTTTTGTGGACACCATTTTTTCGCTTTTGATAAATATTTTCAAGAGAGGTAGTGGTCATTGATTCGAAATAAAATCCGTTTTACAAAAAACAAAATTGAAACAAAAGTTGTTTGTGATTTTGTTGTTGTTGTTGTTGTTTTTCCCTTCTATCCAAACACTTGAAATGAAATGAAACCAAATGAGATTTTTACCCGAAAAAAAACCGAAATGATAATTGATCCAAGAATCAAAAAAAAAAAACAGAAAAAAAGATTTCAACTTGAACGGCAATTTTATTGAACCATTCACAGACGACGATCATTTATTCATCCCTCCCCCCTCATCACATTAAACAACTTGAACAAACTTGATCTCGTCGTATTGATTGTCATTATTGCGATACTAATTAAAACAAAAACAACAAACAAAAACGTTCGAATTATTATTGCGAATCAAGAATCGTTACAAATTATTCATTTTATTTTCTGTTTTGCGATTTTTTTGAAGAAACTTGCTTTTTCTACATAATTGATTGATAATAATCATTATGGAAACAACCGAAAATTTAAGTAAACCAATTGAAAATTTAAGCAAAAAACCTGCTAAAGGTATTTTGAAAACAACATCAAGCTCAGAACATCAACAACCACCACTTAATAGACAAAAGTATGTATATTTTTTTTGGCAACCACACAATATTGAATGTTATGGTTAATGATGTTGTTGTTTTGTATTCGCATCTTGATTATTTTCGCTACAGTTCTCAGGATAAGGATATCAAATGGGATGAAACAAATATTTTACAAACATTACATCCAGCCGATAAGGATTATGGTCATATGAAAATCGAAGAACCAAAAACTCCATATTCATATTTTGTTGAAGATGATGATGGACAATGTCATTCAGATAATGAAATGGCACCCGAAATTGATCCAGATAAATTATCAAAATTAATTGATAAAACAACAACAAGTTCAACAAAATCCAAATTTACATTCGATGCAATGGAACAAGATGATTCTGATCAAAGTGATTTCGAAGAAATCGAAAATGAAACCGAAGAAGAACGTATGAGACGAAAAGAATTTGAACAAAAACGTAAAAAACATTATAATGAATATCAAATGGTAAAATTGGCAAGAAAATTATTGAAAGATGAAATGGACGAAATTGAAGATGAAGAAGATTGATTGATTGTTTCAGCAGCTAAGTATTAGCTTTCATCAAAATACAACTTTCAAAAAAAAAACACATTTGAGTATCATCAAACTTTATTCGTTTCATTTAATCAATTAGCAATTAGCCATTCATTGATGAAAGAGTATTGGTGTTTATCTGTTGTTATTATGTGAAATGTACATATAATGTTTCTCTTTTTTTTTGTTTGTTTGTTTGTTCTTTTCTTTCTTCATTCAGTTCTTCTTTTACTTATCTGTTTGAGCCAAAAAAATTATCGATTAAAAACAATTGTCAAAAATGAGCGTCAAACAATCATTAAATATAAATTCATTATCATTTCGTTCGATCATTTTGAATTTAATTTCCGTACATCCACCATGAATTTGTGGACATAAAATTCGTCGACAAATTTCGTTCCTATCGATGAAGATGACGTGTTAAGATAAGAAAAATTTTCTTGTAAAAAAAACTTACAATCTTTCGGCATTAATTTTACCTCGATACAGCATAATAATTGATTGATTAGGTGCCAATCGAGATTTGTTGTTGTTGTTGTTATCATTTTTCAACATAATTTCATCTTCCTTATCGTTTAACATTCGTGTCAATATATTTCGAATCGATGATTCAGAATCCATATATCGTGTAATCAATAGTGAAAGTTGCTAAATAAATTTTTAATTAAAAAAAATTAGTAATGGTTTTAGAATCTAACTGAAACCAACCTTATGATCAAGTTGTATTTCTTGAACAATTTTTCCAACTTGATTTTCAATTTTATTATGTAATGTTAATGATGAATGACTATAGATGATAATCATACCGAATGATTCATTATCATCATCATTATTGATACTATCTAATGAAGTAATTCCTTTGGTTATGGGCACTAAACTTGTTAATGGATTGAAATTTAAATTCAAATGTTCATTGTCCAATGGAATTGAACAAAATGATTCGTTCAATTTATTATTCTACATGTTCAGTGTGTTTGAAAAAAAAACGAGAAATAAAATGAACAAAAAATCATTGCAAAAGAAGATTACTTACCGATGAATCGATTGTCCAATGTTTTTCACGATTATCGATAGAAAAATCATAAACATTAAACCATTTATTATTGTATATTTGAAGATTGGCTTTTTCAAATTGTTCTGTTTTGATATAAAATAAATTGATAAAAAATTGTTTGTTATTTATCGATTGTTCGATTATACCAACCTTGTAAACCTTTATAATTGGCTGTAAAACATGAAAATATAAGATTATGACAGGATTCGATTGCCGGTTGTGTTGAACAGAAAACATATAAATCTAAATGTTTACAATCACGTGTACGAAATTGTTGCGATGCTGACATTAATCGACAATCTTCACAATTACGAATAACAACACTACCGATAACTGGTCCGATAAAAAACGTACAATTTCGACAATCATCAATAGTAACTGTATTACTATAATCATACAGGCAAATGGTCGAATCATTACAATTTTGTATGATAAATTGTTCACCATTAATTTCACCGGGTAAACGAATCTGTATCGAATTGGATTCATTTTCAATCATATATTTCATCAATTGACTTCGATCTCTATTAGACCTTATGAAATAACAAAATTAAATAAGTATGGTTATGGCAACAACAAAATTAATCAATCATACCAACTATAAGTTTTATCTTTTATCCATTGTTGATTAGGGACCAATTGTTGTTGTTGTTGTTGATCAGATTTTTTCGACATTAAACAACCCATCTGATCGTTGTTTGTATCGGTATCTCTCTTTATGTTGTTTTGCAAAGACCATAAATACCTAAACTAGAATTTGTTTGTTTCGAAAACAACAACAACAATGTTGCTATGGTTTCAAGACATTTTTTTTTTGCTTTGTTTGCTGTTGATCGTTGTCTTGTATCACTCAACAACAATAACAACAATGAACGATGATTGCTCAATCAATAATTGAAAATTCTAATCTTTTATCTTTGTTTGAAGAGTAACTAATTGAATTTGCAACAAGTATCATTTTTTCAAGAAATAACCAACCAAAATGGTATCATTTGTTGTGATAAATGATGTCCAACATTTGTGAGATTTGGCCATTTCATAAATTATTCTATATGATAATCATATGATCAAATGAAATCCCGAATTACCGAAGAGGTTACCGAAAAATAATCATAATTGATTAATAATGTTTGAAATGGTGATTGAAATACGCGCAAAACAATCGAATGGATAATATATTAAGGTGGAAATAGTGGAAAAGATTCTATTCCCTCCCCCTTTTTGTTCTCTCTTTCTTTCGGTTTGATTAGCCCATTGTGTGTATCCATCGATAGAAAATATTTATTTTGATTTGTTACTTCAATATGGCAATCATCAATTTGTTTTTTGTTTATGTTTACAAAAAATAGAAAAAAATCTTTCTTTTTTTTCGCTATTGAAGAAAAGGTGTTATTCATGTTAATCGAACGTTAGTTAGTTAATTGTGATTGTTATTCGGTAATGAGAATAAATGATAAATGAAAAAAAATTATGTCTCATCATAATAATTATCATAAACAATCATCATCGAGGTTTATTCCAAATCCCTTCTGTAAACGAACCGAAAATATTAAGGTTTTGAAAGATATTGTATGTATGATTAATGATGGATTCAAATAAAGTAACATCTTATAGATGTTGTTGATGCTAATTGATAATTTATCGTTTCAATCATTTTATTACAGAGTCTAAATAAAATGACAACAACATTAAATCAATATCGTAAAGATGTAATGTTCTGTGATTTTGAACTACGAATATTATCAAAAGTATTCCCTGTTCATAAATTGGTATTGGCTTCGGCAAGTCCATATTTTGAAACATTATTCCGTAATTCGGGAAGTTTTATCGAAAATTCCAATAATTATGTTGATATTAAAGAGGTAGATAATCCAGAATTAATGGAAACAGTACTGAATTATATCTATACGGGCGACATTGAAATCGATTCACATAATGTACAGGAAATTGTACAGATTTCAAGCATATTGCAATTAACAGATTTGATTAATTATTGTACAAAATTTCTCGAAAATAATCTACAAACATTCAACTGTATTGGAATACTTTGTTTTTCAGATTTCTATGGATTATCTTCATTGTGTTTTGAAGCAAAACGTTTTATCGAAAACAATTTTGCCGAAATTATTAAAGAAGATGAATTTCTAGAATTACCGGCCAATCTATTCAAATCATTCTTAAAAAGTGAAAATCTAAGCATCATTTCGGAATATCAAGTTTTGATGGGCACTGTTGATTGGATACTACATAATCCACAAGAAAGGCTGCAATATCTTACCGAATTCATCAACATTATACGGATGCCAATCATTTCTCATAATTTGATCGAAACTTTGATTGAAAAATGTGATAATCCAGTCGTTGTCGATACACTTCGCCGTTACATGAACAATAATGAAGATCGATGTCCCGCTGATGCGAATTTCGGTGGTTATAGTTCGGTACGATGTAAACCTCGTATGGCTTCAAGACGAGCAATCTATCTATTTGGTGGTCAAGGATCAATGAATACATCACGTAATTGGAATAGTTTGCATACACTGTGTTTGGTTGAAAAATATAATTTTCATACGGCCACCTGGCATATGGTAAAATCATTGATGTATCCTCGTAGTAGTCATTGTGTGGTTCAATTACATAACAAATTATTTGTCATTGGTGGAATTTGTGATTCGCTCATACTTGAAACAATGGAAATCTATGATCCAACCAGTGATGAATCTTCACTTGGACCACATTTAAAAATGCCTCGATCAGCATTCGGTGCATGTTCATATTCCGATTCTTATATCTATGTTTTCGGAGGTCTTGGTGGTGGTGGTCTGTTTGTCGAACAATTCGATCCACTTACTAATCATTGGGAGATTTATGATCAAATGCCTTCATATCGATATGGTATGCAAGTGATTGAACATGATGGTATCATTTTTATAATTGGTGGTGTCAATTCACATGAAATGATTACAAATTCAGTCATGTCATATGATCCGCAGACAAAAAAATTTTACGAATTAGCTCCGCTTAATCAGCCACGAGAATCATTTGCTGCCTGTATTCACAATGGTAACTATATCTATGTGATTGGTGGAATAGGACTTAATAGTCAAATTCTTAATTCGGTCGAACAATATAACATTAATGAGGTAAGATTGTATCAAACATTTATTAACAATTTTTAACAATTTTTTTTTTGTCATTCAGAACAAATGGTCATATGTAACCGAAATGCCTACAGCAAAATCAAATCTTTGTGCTGCAAGTATCAATAATCTTATCTATGTTTATGGTGGCCAAGGATCATTAATAAATCCACAAAATTGTCGAATCGGTAAAAAAGTTTTTGTTTATGATCCAGAAGTAAATCAATGGTTAACAAGTAAACCTATGACACAAGGACGTTTAGATGCGGCCGTTATTGTTGTTTGATATTTGTTCAAATTAATTCATTTTTTTGTATAATTTTAAAACATTTTTTTCATTTAATATTATTTTGATCAATAAAAATGACAATTTGTGTTCGATCAATATTCGTGAAATTTTAGTCTTTTTTGTTGTTGCAGCGATACACACGTTAATGATTGATTTGGATAGAAATAGCCAAATTGTCAAAACACATTCTGTTCGGCCGAATTGGAGATTTAAAGATTTCTATTTCTATTTGTTAAATGTTTATCTAATTTGCTCATCATAATTTATTGTTAATTCTTTCAATTTTGCATAATAAAAAATTTTTTTCCTTACATTTTTTTTCTTTAAAATTTAATTGACTGATAATGATAATGGTGATTAATGACTGAATAATGAAGACTTCGGAAGATAAAGGCAAAGATATAGTGTAAGTTTTTCGATTCAAAATGATTTATTTATTTTCAATGATAATAAAATTATTTTCCCAAAAAAATAAATAAAAATATAGTAATATATTACTTGAACAATTATCATCAAATTCGACGGCACGTTCGATTGTTGAACCACCACAGATCGAAGGATCAACATTTGATGATTGGCTTTATTTTTTCATACAAAATGCATTCATTTTCTTTGTATGGATTTTATCCATGGTTTGGGTGTGCTATGTTGTTTTCTACAATTCTCGTCTTACCGGATTTATTATCACTAAAATAGTCAATTATTTATTTATTAAAAATGGTTATTTTAAAATTGGTTCATTTTCGTTTGCTGCCATTTCGGGTAAGATCATGTTTCGTGATCTTATTTATATCAATGATGATTATTCGATTCGTATTCAGGATGGATGGTAATTAATTAATTAATTATTTTTCATAGCTAGTTTAATTATCATCATCATGATTTGCATAAAATTCTTTCTTTTTTTCTATCTCTCTCTTAAGGATGGTATTCTGTTATTGGATACCGTATGAATATCGTGATGCAAAAACTGAAGATTTATCCAATTCTGATGTACGTTTGTTAATTTATCTGGATGGACTTAAAGTTCATCTATACAATCAGACTGAACGTTATTCTGATCTGGAAAAATTATTTAATTTACCATTGAAAAAATTTTTCGAAACCGAATCGACCAAAGAACAAGTGGATGATTCTGCTACGAAAAAAAATGAAAAAGAAACAAGAGAAAAAATACTAAAAAGTATGAATCAAACTCGAAACGAACTGAAACAATCAATATGGCGTGATCTAATACCTATGATCAAAATTGAAATATCATCGGGTAGATTTATTTTCGGTAATCATTTGATACCAAGTACGTTGTCCATTTCATTTGAAGATTCACAATTTCATTATACTAGTCAACCGGCTGCATCACAATATGATCTTTTAACACATATTCTTAAAGGTAAAGCAGAAAATCTACAAGTAATGCTTATACCAAGTGTAAAATATAATGGTTCAATAACGGATGAACCACCAAGAATTATGGGTGATGGTTTTAATGTATTTCGTACGAATAAAATTGAAATCTATTATTATCAAGATGTACCGGGTTTTGTTACTCAACAGGATCAGGATATCAATGAAACAGATAATCCTGTTTGGGGTATGGTTGTTAAATGTGGAAAAGGAACAGATTTTAGTTATGGACCATGGGCTGATCGTCAACGTGGATATTTATATAGTTTTTTCTTTCCTTCCAATTATCAATTAATGACAGTGGATGAAAAACCTAAATTAGGTGAACGACGTCGTTTTGAATCATTTGATATTCGTCTTAGTACATTACATGAAGCAAAAATTGATATTTTATTTGCCAAGAATAATGAAACACATGCATTACATATTAATGCAATGCCTGGTTCATATTTGGAAGCAACTATTCCATGGATTTGTAATACAGATGGTTATAGTACACATATATTGGGACAAATTCTTCATCTTGATGCAACAACTAGTCTACAATTTCGACCATTAATACAAAGTGAAACATTTGAATTTGATGTTAAAATTTTTTTTCCTCGTCTTTGGAATGGTCATCAAGAATGGCTTTGTAAAATAACTGCATGCAAAGCAACTGTTAATCTAATATTTGCACATAAAATATTTATTCAAGATCTTATCGATGATTGGAGTGATAAAGAACGACCAGATATATTGAAATTTATTCCATATACATGGAAAATATCGATTGTTATTAAAGATTTTGAACTATTAGTTTTAGCTAATCAATATAATTGGATTGATTGTTCTACCGGATTGAATGATGAAAATTGTAAAATTGCTATTTGTGGTGAACATTTTGATTTAGCATTTGATTTACCGTTTGTTGAATTTTTACCACCAAAATTAATGATAAAAATTTGGATACAAGGTGAATGTTTAGAAGGTGCTTTCTACCTTCCCGAAAGCAGTATGAATCGTGATATTATTGAATTAATACAAAGATTTTCAAATATTAATGATCGTAATGAATCCTGTTCTGAATATTTAGCTTATTTTGGTCATAAAAGAAAATGGAAAAATATTGTTTCATATAGTAATCATTGGTATGATTGTATAAATGCACCGATTGTTGCTATCAGTATAACTTATGATTTTTGGCCAATGCCAATACTTGCCAATGATTCTAATGCAAAACAAACGACAAACAATGAAATTTCAAATTCAATCGATATTGAAACAACAATACCAGCGCGAAAAGGAAATATTAAATTTCAAGATGAAATTCAAGATTTTGATGTTACCATTCTACCATCGGATGTTATGACAATTGAATTGGAAATTGGTCCATCAAATATTGCTTTGTTTGGTGTTTTGTTTCGTTTTCTTTGGAATATTAAGGAAAATTATCTTGGTGAATCACAAATATTCAGTGAAATGGGTGTAAATTTTTTCGATGATAAATATGTTACGAAAAAACGTAGTGGTGGTGGTGGTGGTGATACGGTTACGGAAAATAAGAAAGATAAATCAATGGTTGAGGTTGAAATTGAACCACGAAAAACATTCGATCCAAGATTATATCGTCCATTTGAAGTTATCGTATCGGTAACTTTGCATGAAATTCATGGTCATCTTGTTCAATGTTTATCCGATCCAAAACATTATTCACCGTTAGTTTATGTGGAAAAATTATGTTTTGAATTACGAAAAACATATTTGGAAACAAAATTACAATTGATTATATCACCGGCCGTTATACAGGTTGCTGATCGTATCGAAAGAATTGATTTTCCTGATTCACTTAAAGAAGGTTTTCTTACATTATCATCATTACAATTTCGTGGTCATGCAATGTTTTCCGGTCTAGATAGACCATTACAAAGTGAAACACTGGAATATGCTTGGCTTGTTGATGTTGAAGTTGGTGAAATTGGTGGCCGTATAACAATGGATCAATTAATGCAAATTATTGTGCCTTTGGAAACATTTTTATTTCAAATATTTCAATTAGATTTAGATTTACAATCACCGAATCCATTTTATAAATGTCTTCATGATCGTCATCAAAATGAATGTCCGGAATCGGATTTAATTGCCAACCGGTTATGTCCATATCCCGAAGATGTTAAATATCGATTAGTACGTGTAGATTTTGATAAAATTGATTTATTTCTAATCGAATCAAATGTAACAATAAATCTATCGAATCCATCGATACGATTAGCAACCTGTAATCTTCATGTTCGTAATGAATTTGATGGTTTTACATTACTTGTTTCAAATTTAATGATTCGTCAATTTGTATCATTATTATCGATGAAAGATCTAGGCCGAACACATGAATGGGCTGAAATAAGTTCAATATCTACTGGTACGATTTTTCTTGATTCAGCTATTAGATCATCTGAAATTGATAATTATACTATTTCACAATATGATTTTCTTCGTAAACATGATAATAAAACAAAACGATTATGGTTTCTATGGAACGATCAAACAAAATGTGGTTGTGTTGGTAATTGTGCATTTTTCGGTTGTAATTTGGATGGACAAAATTTTTTCAATAAAGATCGACAATCACCGATGAATAAAAATCGTTCGTCTAAACATTCTGCTCAATGTTTAGGTCAAAATTATAATGAATGTATGGGAAAAACATTACATAATCATCTTATTAATTTAAATTATGGTGAAAGTTTATTACATCCAGAAAATTATCTACTTGATTTACATTCACCATTGATTGATGAAACAAATAAAGCATTATCGAATACAACAAAATCATCACAATCTGGTAATCGATTATCGACGACAACAACGGCAACTGATACTAATGAAAAAATATCGACAGGTAAATGGTCAGCAATATCGAATGATCGATTTTTTTCAGCTGAAGATTTATTTCTTTCCGGTACAACATCATTATCATCATCAAGAATTGAACGTTCAATATCGAATAATAATGATAAATCTTTATCATCATCATCATCACCAAATTGGCAATCACCAACTGAAATGCTTTCACCAACAACACAATATATTACAGCTCGTGAACATTTTTCATCATCATTAGATTATTCGAATGGAACATCACAACAAAAATTATCCAGTTTATCATCCGATTCTCCAACACTTGTTTCGCCTACCAATGTCGGAAATGACCAAATAACATCTACCGCAACAACAACAACAACTACTACTACTTCAAGTACACCATGTGTATTGGAAGATGATCAAAATTCAATAACATCATTTATGTCGGCCGTTAGTGATCATCAATCATTCGATATGGTTGATCTAAGGAATCAGTTGGAAAAACCAATTATTGAATCACCATTATTAATGTTAGCATATTCAACATATTTATCAATATATTCATCTGAATATATTGATATACCATCACCAGTACAGAAGATAAAAATTTGTAATTATTTTCGAATGAAATCACCACAAGCATTACATTTTGAACGATTAATGTTTGAATATCGTAATAATTGGAAACCGAAATTTTCATTGAAAAAATCTGGATTTTCTGAATCAAAATTAATCTATTATAATGATAATAATTTACAAACATCAACAAGTAATAATAAACAACAACAACAATTTAAACATTATCAACCGGGTATTGTAGCGGAAAAATTTGATCTTAATCGAATGATCAAAGATCGATCATTTCTTTCGGATAAAGAGATAATATTTTCATCGCTGAAATCACCATTACGTGTGTTTAATCCGGTTGAACAACAATCAACAAATCGATCAAGAACAGCTACAACAACAGCCGCAACAAATATAAAAGATGATGAAATATCATCGAATAAACCAGGTCGTTCGGAAACAATAACCACACAATCAACATCAACAATGATCAATACAAATAATATTGACAGTGATAATGATGAAGTAATTGAACATTGTTTAATTCATATTGAATTTGATCAAATTGAAATTAAAATTTCAACATTAACATTTGATGTAATGTCGGCTGTAATGAATTCATTGACTGAAATATTTTCAAAATTTCATCCAATAAATTTATTAAATCATTGTAGTTATTCAATAATCGATAGTATCGAAACAAAAAATATATTAAAAAAACGGAAACCACATTATATAGGGAAATTACATATGAAAGCATGGCAATTATTGAAACATAAACAAACAATGAAACATTTAAATCGTTCAATTAGTTTTGCTGGTGATCGTAATCCAAAATTAGTTGGTGGTGGTCATCATCAAGAAATCGGCGGTGGTAATGTTCTTCCGGCTAATATTTTATTGGCAAAAAATCTTGAATTAGATCATCGAACATATCTTAGTTTGAATATTGAAATTAATCGTATAAATATTAGTTCATTACAAGCATCGATTGTTGAAGAAATTATTTCATTTTCATCATTGGATAATGTAAAAGATCTTACCTGTGTTCTTGTATCGAATATATCATTTGATCGTATACAATTGAATATGAATAGACAAACACGTCAAAAACGTAATCTACATGTATTTATGGAACAATCATCAACAAATACGGAAAAAGCATTGATGATACGTTTTTTCACACGAAAACCGAAAAAAGTATTTGCCGAAATTGATATGAATGCATTTGAAACTATTGATGCATTTGTTAATGAAACACAATGGAAATTTTCATTGAAAAATATTCAATCACAATTATCACGTTTGATTAATTCACCGGATATTATATCGGAAGCAACATTGGCTATTATACCATGTTTAAAAACAAAAGTAGGATTTGTTTTTGCTGCACCATCCAATGATGATTTTGTTCAACCATATTTGAATCAAGCGAATCGAAAAACAGCAACAAAAAATTTACGAAGGCAAAACGGTATCGAAACAAATGATGAAACATCGGCAACAATTATGGAAGAATCACAATTTCAACATTTTAATTCATTCGTTATGTTTGAATTTGGTATAGAAAATATATCGTTTACAATGAATAAATCATCATATTATAATTGTATTCGTATTATTGATAATAATCATCGATCAATAATAAGTACAAATAGTGATAATTTATTAAATCATGAAATTACACCATTCATATCAAAACCATTAAATGAATGTGAATTAAAAGGTAATATTCTGAATATTTGGTTTCATTTTGCATCATCATCAAAAAAATCATTAACATCAATAAGAAATGATTTTGATCGTTATGATTGGCATTTACTTAGTTCATTAATACCATTAACAATAGCATGGATTAGTGTATTTGATCGTTTATCATATCAATTTGATCAGATGAAAAATCAATTACGTTTTCGTATTTGTTCATCATTAGCATGTTTATTAACAAATTGTCGTAATGATTATCTATTGCAAAATCAAAAAAATCCACAACATTTGGTAACAATGATTAAACCATTACAAAATAATAGTAAACAAATGATTAGAATATTTTCAGCATTATCAAAAACAATACAAGATGATCCATCATTCCTTTTGGTCAATGTTTTACGTTTAAATTTTAAAGATTCATTCAAAACAAATACAGAATTTGAATCATATTTTTTACGGCCATCAATCATACCGAATAATAAAGAATTGGAAAAAAGCTTAGTACTTTTATTGTTTCATTGGAAAGAAGTTTTAAACGTACCGGTATCAAATTTTGGACAAATTTTTTTCCATAATCAACAACCATCAACACATTCACCAAAAATGACATTTTCTTCGACAAAAAATCAAATACTAACATTATTGGAAGAAAAATTTAATCTTATGATGAATAATCCTGTACATGAAAATGATCTTAAAAATGCTACATCAATGACAATTCAATCATCAACACCTGAACCACCACATCATTGTCGAACATTTGTTAAACAATCATTAAATGTTTCATCGGAAAATGAATCCGTACAGATTAATATGAATGATTTGGATACAGAAACAACTAAATTAATTTATGATAAACATCATCTACCTACTACTACTACTGATACAGTTAATCAAAGTCGTGATGATCTTGAATTACAAGCTGAAATTTCAAGCAATGTTACCCGTAATACATTTCCAGAATATTTTGATTCAATAGCTAAACATCGTTTAAATATGTTAACAAAACGACAAAATCGTGTACATTTTGTTAATGTATCAAGATTTCGTGGACTATATGATCGATTTCTAGCAACACCTATCATAAGAAATATTTCTGCTTTATGTAATAATCGTTGGTGTCATTTTTGTTCATTTAGAAAATTTTATCAATTTCATCGTCATCGTTCTCAAACAACAACATCATCAACATCGTCGAATGATGAACAACATGAGCTTCAAAATATGTCAACACCGATTGTTGATTTAACAACTATCGAACAACAACCTATTGAAACTATAATTCCAATAGATAATAATCAATTATTGGAAAATGAATTGAATCAAAATGCTGAAATTGGTATCAATATTGATGATTGTGATTTATTGATGGATGATGGTGTTGGTGGTGGTGGTGATGATGGTTTTCATCAACCAATCATCGTTGGTAATAATCGTTATAGTTCACAAAGTAATTATGATAATGATAAAAAAGATCTTTATTGGTGGATGGTTAAACAACAAGATTATCTTAAAAATGTTAATCCAAATTTAGCCAGTACTACGACTACTGCTACGAATATGCCATTTGATCAAGATCCGTTGAATGAAACAACGAATCAACAGCAAGATCAACAGGATCAATCGGCAACAAGAGAAACAACAACAATGTTTGATGAGAAAAAATCGGCCAAAGAAACAATAAGAAAATATGGTTTAAATTGTGAAGCAACACAATATTTTGAAAATTTTTCCAAAACACTTGGCCTATCGGATGTATTAGATTTTGATAAATTATCCGAACAAGAACATGATGGTATATTTGGTTCTTGTATGATAATATCATTATCTGTTCAACAATTTGGTATACAAATTGAAGAATCGGATCAAGATTTACAGAAAAATATGTTTAATGTTGAAACATTATCAACATTATTGAATTGTATGGCTAATCGAAACAAACAATCATTATCGGATCCATTATCATTTGAATTAGTTAATCTAACGACCGAAGCAATTGTACAGAAAAGAAATTATAGTCAAATAAATGATGCTGTTAATAATAATTTTCGTGATATTCGTTATAAAAATGAAATACTTTATAATTTAATGCCAAATTTTTCATCAACAGCAAAATATTTATTTAAATCAATTTTGCAGAAAAAATCCAATGAAAATGATCTTAGTTTTGATACGGTAAATTTTTTAGCATTCAATATACAAATCGAACAAATTACACAACGTATAAATCTTCCATTGTTAAGATTTATACATCAATTTTCGGCAATTTATGAAGATGTTTCACAAACACGTTTTGAAATGCGTAGAAATCGAAATATTTTTACCGATCAAAATGATGATAGTGATGATGATGATATGCAAATTATCGATGATGATGATTTATCAATTAATTCTTCATTAACAACGACAAATACGACATCAGATAATGATACAATTCATAGTGAACATAAATTGGATAAGAAAATTGAGGAAGAAGGACATAGAGAATCGATAGTATTGGATCGAGTATCGATTGTCGAACAACAAGAACAACATCCACCACATCAACAAAAAGAACCAATAATATTCGATACAAGAATCAATAATTGTTGGCGAACTATATCAAGAATGCTTGAACAATATCAAAAAACAAAATCCAAATTATTTACAAATCAAGCTGATCAATTTGAACAATTTAATGAAGATGATTTTTATTCGGTTTATTCTGGTTTAATAAATAAACCATTGATTATAATGGTAAATACGGCTGTTTCCAAAATGAACGTTATTGCAATGTTATCCGGATTAAAATTAGAATCGGAATTATATAATTTTAATTTTTCCGTTTCACATCAAGAATGTCGAAAAAAACATAAAACTCGTACACAATGGCCAAATAATCTGGCTATACAGAATTTAATCAATACAACAATCGATATTAATTTGGATCGTATAGCGATTGCATTGTTTGAATCATTACAATTGAATGTTGAAAAATCAACACAATTAAAACAACAACAATTAGTTGTGAAATTATCTGTAGAAAAATCTAATGTAAATTTGATAAGAAAAAATGAATCCGATTTGGAAACGGATTTTGATATTGAAAATTTGGATAAAATTATTGAATTATTGAATAGTACAAATTTTAAAACAAGTTTGGATACAAATCATGCACGAATTATGATTGGTAATGTTGAAATAGATATTCCACAACATCCAGTTGCATTGCATGGTATGATGACACGATCTGGACGACAATTAACAACAACATTACAGGAATTACGATATTCACGACAATCATCACGATCATCAAGACAACCAGCCACCAGTGGAACAGGAATGATATATACGGATCAAACAAATAGCGGTGATCAAAATCGTTTACCATCATCACCATTAATATTGATGAATGTATCACCATATCCAAGTTTTGATTCATCATCATCATCCGCAGCAGCAGCAGCAGCATATATGATGAAAAAACATTCGATACCGAATAGTGTGAAAATTAGCGATCCACAACAAAAACAACAACAACAACGAAGAACAACAATACAAACAACAGCGACTACTATTCATTCGATTAGTGGTGGTCATCATTCATCGGCTAAAACTGGACATCGTACAAGTCATCAACGTAAATCATCATCATCCAATCTAATATCACCATTGATTGTTGATTTTAATTTTATATTGGAAAGTGTTGCTATTAAAGCATCATTATTACCATCATTACAGGCAAAATATTTACTTGGACAGGTAACAAGTTCTGGTTGTACTGGTTCGAAAGCAAAATTTATTGTTGATATTAATAATCATTCATTATGTTTGAAAACAATGATGGAATCATTTCCAAGTGAAGCAAATGCAAGTATTACATTACCACGGATACATGTTGATGGTGAATATAAAAAAGAATCATCATTGGATAAACAAACAACATCGACAACGACGACGACAGCGACCGATACCGATAAAATGAATCGTACAGAATCATTTTCAACTGATGGTATTGTTTTTCGAAAAGGTAGCTATTTAAATATGGTTGCCGAAATTAGTTCATTTGAACATTCCCTAACTACTGATCTATTGAATCATTTACTTTTTGTACAAAAAGTTTTTATGAAAGAAATTAATGAAGTTTTACAAAAAGTATCACGTAATGAATCTGATAATTCTGGGTCAAACAATTTGAATGATTGTGATCGTATGGCATTGGCTGAAGATTCAGTAACAACATCTAGAATTTTATTTTCATTATCATTAAAAATGACTGGTATTCAAATAACAGCAACAACACCAACGAATAGTGCTGTACGATTTGAAACCGGTACAATCGATTTACGTGTATCGAATCGTTTAATGAATACTGTTGATCGTAATTTTAAAATATTTGTTCGTGTTCAATTGGATTTTAATGTTGCACTTGGACAATTAATACGTAATGCAATATTTGAAGAAGCTGAACCAGATTTTCAACAATTAGCATATTTTAAAACAAGAATCTGTATGCGAAATGCATCACAAAATCAATCCGTACAACAACATATAATCACAGATTTAGATACTGAAGATGATGATAAAGAAGTTGTATTGATAACATTAAATCGACCATTAGTTTATATACAGCCATTAGCATTGGATAAAGCAATTTTAGTTTGGATTAATTATAAAAATGCTTATGAATATTGGAATGAACAACGTGCAAGTCTGAATAATGAAGTATTACAAGCAACACAACAGATATTCGATAAAGTACATCCATTTAGTTCATCACAATCATTGGGTACAGTTTTATTACAATTAACCGTAGATGATTTTGGTATTTGTTTACCGATTTCAACTACGGCAACAATATCAAAATTTTCAACACAAAGTCGTATATATGATTCGGATATAAAAGATGCATTGGTATTAACATTGGAAAGTACAAGAATATCAGCATTATCAAGAGGATCATTAGTTAGTAAAGGTGAATTTAAAAATCTTTGTATACGTTTTGCCGATGATTTTGAAACAATGTTAGATGATTGGAAACCAGATCCAACTGATTCATCCATACAGAATTTATGCATAGTATCCGAAGGTACATATCAGATTTGTTCACGAACAATAACACATAAGAAAAATCATCAAATGGATCAATTTGTTAAATCACCACCACCACCAACATCAGCGACAACAACAATGCCTGGTGGTGGTGAACCACAACCAAATTATCTGGCCGAAGCAAAATGGATTCTGAATGTTCATTGGAAAATGGATGGATTTGATATTCATGTTGATACCAGTATTGGTAAACATATTTCAGCATTATTTAAAACAATGACAGCTATTGCTGGTGATGAAGATGATGATGATGATGATGACGAAGACGACGATGAAGAAGAAGAAACTGAAAAGATAAAAACAACCTGTGATCAGGTTGATGGCAAAGTTGAACGTGATGGTGTACCACCACCAGCGACAGCAGCAGCAGCTTCATCGATTCGAACATCATTTATCAATGATTCTATTGATAAGAAGCCGAATCCATTAATAAGTAAAGAATCGATAAAAAAACGAAATATTGAAAAAGAATTTAATGAACAGGCAAAAGTAATAAATGATTTACGGCAATTAGGTGCAAGTGATCAAACAATACAACAAGAAATGGAAAGATTTCAAAAATTAGAAGCAGCTGTTTTTAATAATTTTCGTCGTGGTGTAATTAAAAAATTAAAACGACCATCAAATCAACAAAATAATAAACATCAACAACAACAACAACAACAACAATCGACAACAACAACAACAACCGGTAATGATGGTAAAATCGTAAAAAATCGTACATATAGTCAATCAATAAATTCATATGATGAATTGAATAATTTTATAACAACGAATGATAGCGGTCAAAATCGTAATCAATCATTCTATAGAATTGATGAAGAATTAAATACACTTTCACCAACAATACAATCATCAACAATATCAATACCAAATGATTTAAATAATTTTAATGATGATAATGATTCAATAGATACTAATAATACTGTTATAGCAGCTATTTCAACAACAAGTTCTTCACATTTGGAAGAATCATCATCAATTGTTGATCAGCCATCAATAAGAAATTTGAAAGATACCATCATCAATCAATCAATTGATTCAAAAATAGATACAAATAAAACAATACAAACATCAATGATGAATCCAATGATGATGGTTGTGGTTGAACCAAGAATCGATTTTGAATTGGATGTAAAAATATTTTTCAATAGTGGAAAATGTGTTTTACATACAAAAGAACAACGTAATGATTTGGATTCGAATAGTCGAAATTATTCGGCTAATGATATGGCTGCTGCTAATAATCATTCACCAACTAATAACAACAATAACAACAACAGTTTGACAACAAATCGATCACAACGTATCAATAAATCACGTTCATATAATAAATTATTTAAAGGTTCAACATATCGAAAAGATTATTCACAATCCGGTATTGGTATGAATCCAGATTTTACTGTATTTCTGATACCTGGTTTGGATATAAAATTAAATTATAGTTCAAAAAATATTAATGCCGATGAAGAAGTAATGGATAAAGAACCAGTACAAAGTTTTCGTAATATTAAAATACCACAACAACAACAGCAACAACAACAATATCATAATAATTGGACAGAATCAAATAATTCATTGGCAAGATCGGTAGCAACAACTACTACGACGGCTAATAAATCAACAAAAAAAGCAATATTATTTGCATGGATAACATTAAGTTCAATACCGGATGAAATATTTATTAGTCCACATTTATTGGATTTTTTTGAAGAAGCACTTAAACCAATACCATTAACAATGTCTGGACAAAATTCAGCTAATGCTACATTATCAAGTATTCAATCACAAAGATTTGCTAATCAAATAAACAATAATAATAATAGTTCGAATGATGAACAAGATGGTAGTTCACAATATGTTTATTATTCATCATTCCCTGTTGATGTGATTGTATTTTTTCATTTTCAACCAACAATCATTAGACTTGGTTGTTTACCAATATCAAGAGTTGAATGTCTTTTACATCTGCCATCAATTGATTTGGTTATGTCATCAAATCGTTCGGAAATTGATTCAACAATTCTTCCTGAAATGAATACTGATTCGGCTGCGTTTCAACAATTAGCAAACAAAGCATTTAAAAATGTACAAACAAATACCAGTACCAGCGGTGGAAATTCTGCTACATCGAATAGCGGTGGTTTAAGTATAACCGGTTGTTTGGCTGATTTTTCTCTTTACATTTTTCATCCATATGGTGGTCATAAAAATAAAACAGCAATCGGTGCGACTGGCAGTGGTGTTGGTGGTGGTGGTAATCAATCAAAAAATCATCCATCATATTCTACTAATGATCGTAAAGATTCTCTCAGTCTGCAAGTAGAATTTGTTAAAATTAATATTTCTCGATCCAGGAAATTATTATTGAATGATTCACTTACACAAAGTATAAGTTTTTCAGCTATTTGTGATATTGGTACGGCAACATTTAAATATGATGTACGACGTTTAAATGAAATATTAGCTTTTCCAAAAGCATGGTATAGAAAATCAATTTGGAAAAAAGTATTTATCGGTGAAAATACATTGAATGCAATATTTAGTGATCATTATGATGGTGATGATGAAACGGAAGATAATCGAGTATTCAATATCGGTGGTGAAACAATGTTGATACATTCACAACCGGATTCTTTAGGAAATGATGATGATGATGATAGTTCTACTAGCAGTAGCGATAGCAGCAGCAGTATCAGCAATAGTACCGCAAGTTTATTGGATGATATCGTTTTGGAAAGCTGTTCACGTATCGGAAGGAAAAAACGACGAAAGAAAAAGAAATCCAAATCACATTTGATCACCGTTGTACATAATCCATGGGAAACATTAGTATTATTGACAATAAATTTTTCCAAATTAAATGTTTCAATGAATATGGGCAATATAATGGGTAATGTAAATTGGCAAACAAAAGAACTGATGTGTGATGGTTCAATATCGATCGATTCGAATGAACATCGTAAATTTCGTGTTGGTCTTTGTTTAAATAATTCAACATTAGATGCTAAAGGTGGTATTATTGGTGGTATTGTTGAACTGAGTGATATTCGTACTGAAATTAATGTACGTGAAGATAGAAATCTTGAACCACAACATCGGTTATATTTTTCATTACATACAATTGAAAATCGTATTGATTATATGGGTACTTCGATTCTAATGGTTCGTATTAGTGATTTGAGTGCTTCATTTTTTGATAAATGGAATGCTAAAATTATTGATTGTTTGGATACGAAAAAACCATCAATTCATGTACAAGCAAGTCTTAAATGGGATCAGATGCAAATTCTAATGTCAAAATCAACATCACCAGATTTTATGAAAATAATTTCTAAACTTGAAGAATTTTTTACACAACAATTTCATAGTGGAAAAAGAGTTTTTGATTCTTTGCATCCAACCACTGCGACTACAACGACAACGACGACGACTGCGATCTCAACAACAACAATAGCTGCTACGGAAAAGATGAAAAAAGAATCACCGGTTATTATTGTTGATTCAAAATCTGAACCAAATTTTTGGGCTACTACTACTACAGATGATGAAAATGTATCACCGAAAAAATCTTTAAAATCATTTCATCGTTATTGGCGTAAATCATTTCAATTATTTTCAAGTATAAAAACTGGTGATGCATTACTTGGTGGTTCGATTGAAGTACATGCACATAATATTTCATTAGCTTGTTTTCATGGTATAAATTTTCGATCAAAATCATGGGCAGTTTTTTGTTTAAAAGAACCATCAATAACATTCGAAACGGAAGCACGTTTATCCGATGATTTGGCTAATGTTGTACAAAAATTAGAACTTGTTCTTGGTAATCGAAATGATAATGTAAAAAATGTTCGTGATAATAATATGGAAACAATGGCTATTGTAAGTAAAATTTCCAGAACAGTAATATTTCCACCACAATTTCGTCATTTACATGAATGGTTTCATTATGCATTATCACCAGTGGAAATAAATGATGTTAATCGATTTCCATTACCATCATGTGATAATTCAGAATTTGATGCATTCGGTGTACCAGTTGAAGCATTAACACCTTCACAATTAAAAACTAGTCAAACTGATCGTCGAACAAAATCTACTAGTGAATTTCATTATAAAGAAGAAATGATTTTTGCTTTTCCAAGTATGCGTTTTGAACTAACTACCAAACAACAGCTACAAACAGCTATTGTAAAGAATTCGGATTCAGAATCGTCGCCCAAAGTTTTATTCAGTTTTCGTTCGGATTTTGTTGATCATATCTATGTTGCTGTTGATGCAGAAGCATATTTTTTTCTACATAATCTAATTAGTTCTTATATCAATGAAACTACTGATGCATTTGCATTGAATAATAATCAAGATGATAAAGATGGACAGAAAAATGATGATAAAGAAAAGATGAAGAAGGTCGATGAAGAACGATCAACGAATAATTCTAAATCAAAATCAGGTGATGTTGATAAGACAACGACGACGACGACGACAACAACAGCAACAACCAAGATATTTCGTGATCATCGTGAATTTATATGCGAGGTAACTCCTTCCTCCAAAAGTATTTTTTTGAACTGATCATTAATTCTTTTTTCAATTTTATTTAGATTTGGCAATTAGAACCAACAGTTCGATTACATTCATGGGCAAGTAAAAATATCGATCCATATGGTGTAGATTATATACTGCAACGATTAGGTTTTAATCAGGCAAGAACAACAATACCAAAATGGATTCAACGATCAACAATGGATATGGCCGATAAAATTATTTCAATTGTTGTTTATCAAATGTTGAAAAAAGATTGGCAAGAAAATGTTAAAACTAAATCGATTACAGATAATTAAAATTTAGCCACTATTGAATTCATTTCATTTGATTGAATGTTAACCACAATCTGTGTGTGAAATTCAACCACATTGATGTTCTATTGTTTTTGGTGTTTCACATTTTGTTTGTCATTAACATTTAACATTTCAAAATGTCTGCTTCATTGAGAAGAATAAAAATTGAAATATTAACTGTTTGTTTGTTTATAATTGAATTTTTTACCAATATCCTACGATTCATAGGATTAGGTCGTCGTTATTATAAAAAAGATAATCGTATTGATGGTAAAATTGTTCTAATAACCGGTGCAAATAGTGGAATCGGGTTGGAGGCCACTTATCAGCTATGTAAACGAGGAGCTAAAGTAGTTATGTGTTGTCGAGATTTGGAAAAAGGTCGACAAGCTGCAAATAATGTTCGTCGTCGATTTCGAACGGCCGATATTGATGTAAGACAATTGGATTTATCTTGTCTATCATCGATTCGTCAATTTGGCAAAACATTAGCTGATCATTATGATCGTGTAGATATATTGATCAATAATGCCGGTGTTATGATGTGTCCCAAGCGAACAACATCATCGGATGGATATGAATTACAATTTGCCACAAATCATCTGGGTCATTTTCTACTAACACATCATGTTTTACCATTGATGATTAATTCGGATGATGGTCGTATCATTAATGTAAGCAGCATACATCACATAAGAGGACGAATTTTTTTCGATGATATCAATTTCACGAAAAAACCTTATGATCCAGTAGAGGCTTATTGTCAGAGTAAATTGGCCAATGTTCTTTTCACACGGCAATTGGCTAAACAAATTTCCACGGTCAAAGTTTACAGTCTAAATCCGGGAACAATCAACACAAATCTTACTCGATATATTCGAGGCTTTAAACGAATCATTTTCAATATTATCGGTTTTCTATTCAATTTGGATGTTTATTGGGGTGTACAAACAACATTGTTTTGTGCTCTTGAACCATCATTGAAATCGGGCAAATATTACAGTAATTGTAAAGAAGATAATTGTTTATTTAACGAATCATTGGATGATGATGCAGCACAACGATTATGGGAAATTAGTTGTCAAATGGTCGGTATTAAATCGGATAAATATCTACCATGATGATGGGATCTACCATTCTTATCGCGATATTATTAATGTTATTTGTAAAAAAATAAAATTCAAAAAAAAAATTCGAATCAATTTCATTTTATATTCAATTCGAAATGCGCAAGCGCACAATATGAGTGAACAGCATGCATGTTTTTTTTTCGTTTAGATCATTTTTGACAAGACTAATTTTTGCAAATTTATTTTACTTGATTTAAAATGGTAAGTTGTTGTTGATTTTTGTTTTGAAAAATTTTTGTTAATAAATGTTTATTTTTTCTCGATTCACACACACACAGGCTCATAATGATAAATCGGGTGGTGAGAAAAAGAAAAAAGAATCGATTGTCGATCTTAGCAAATATCTGGAGAAAGCAATTCGAATCAAATTTCAAGGTGGTCGTGAAGGTAAATTGATTGATTTGATTTGATTTTGAATGTCTTTTGAATTAATTTCTTTGCATTTATTTTAGCTACTGGTACATTGAAAGGTTATGATACTCTTTTGAATCTTGTTTTGGATAGTACAACCGAATATCTTCGAGGTAAATAATGTTTGAGGTTTTTTTTTGTTGTAATCATCACATTTGTAAACTCTGTTTTTTTTCTAAATAGATCCTGATGATCCGTACAAAGTAACCGAAGATTCTCGTCAATTAGGATTGGTTGTATGTCGTGGTACAACAATCATATCGATTTGTCCTGTCGATGGTATGGAACCGATTGCCAATCCATTTATTCAACATGAATAAACAACACATTTTGTACAAATTGAATTTTTTTTTAATTATCATATCAAATCATTGAAATAAAATTATTATTATAATAACGATTTTTTAAAAAATATTCAATAAATTCATTATTATCAATCAGAAATATTTGCTAAATTAACTTTGATCATATGGCTAATCCATTTGGTTTCTTTTGTTGTTTTGAATGTTTCTTCAGTGTTCAATGCAGTGTTGGATGCCGGTTTCAATGTTGATGGAAGAATTGAATGAACATAATCATGTTTCATACGAAATTGTATTTGACATTGAACACCATTGCCTTGTTTAGGTGTTACAAATAAATAGATGCCAATCTTATTACCTTGACGAAATGAAATAACACTAGAACAAAAAACGGTCAAATTAATCATTGATCAATCTATGGTGGTCACTTACTTTGGATCATCATTGAATTTAGAATTAGATGATTCCACATCAACCAGATCACCTGTATCGTCTTTTGGTGTTAATTGTAGTACAGTGTTAGGTAATATTACATCGGCAATCGGATTATTGGTTATATCGACAGGAAGTAATGTAACATTGATAAGATATTGTGTTGGATTGGTCAATGTTAATTCGATTCGAGCAGTTTCATTCAATTTCATTATCGATGGTAATTTTAATATACGTAATTCAGGAACAATATAACTGTTGTCAAAATGAAACAAGAAATGATAATAATGATAATTTTCATTCAATTATATTCAAAAAAAACACACAAAAATATGCTTACTATGCTGAAAGTTGAATTTTAAATTTAATACAGGATGGATTATATTCAGGTTTCGAAAGATTATGATCACATTTTTTACAACGTAATGATCTTTTCACTACTAATTGTTGACTAGTAGGAAAAAGATCTGAACATTTTTTTGGTTGTCGTTCAATTTGATTAAGTGTTTGTTGCAAAGTATTCAAATGACCTACATCGATCGCCGATGAATCATCATCATCAGTGGCAGTATCGTCCATTGGTCCATAATATTCATCAACGTTCAATTTTGGTAGTCCATCTTCGGAAAGGCCAACTGATGGTTTAAAATCTTCAAGTTGTGGAAATGATTTTGTTAGATCAGATGTAGACAAACCGGAACTATTTCGTGCCATTCGTGCACGTAATGTTGCCGTTACTTTGGGTGATAATGTTGAAGTGATACCATATTTGTCCAGTAAAGATAATGCCGTTCTCGGTACCATTCGTTTTTTTTCTTTTTCATTTTTTTCTTTCAATGATAAAACACGATAATATTCGAATAAAGATTCAAGTCGTTGAGATTCGGGAACAACTGGTTCGATAAAACCACCGGGACCAGTTTGATCTGGGATACCGATTTCACGTGATGACCAACGACAAAAATAACAAAAATAATAGCAAAGTTTTTTTACATTAGGCTGTGAATCTGGATTACTCGAATCTGGATTATGAACAGGTAACAATTGAATTCGAGTAGACAATGTATTCTGACAACATGGACATTGATAACAATGAGCACATTTATTTTTTTTAAGTTTAGCATCCAACATTGGAATATATTCTAAACATTGTGGACAAAATTGTGAATCAACTTCATGTGAAACACAATCAGCACAACGTGTTTCATCACAATGTCTACAAAAATATAAATAATGAATTGTTTTCCATTGTTTACATGAACATTGATAAAGAATACGTTGGCTATCTAAAAATGGACAAATAAATAACATTTTATCGAATGAATAATTTATCTTCTTTGTTGTTGTTTTCTGGATTTGACAAAGATTGTGGCAAAAAAACAAAAACCTCGACGATTATTATGAGACGTTCTATTGAATCCCATCGTTTGTGAACGGGACTACGAATGTTTGTCGAGATATCGCGAAAGAGAGAGAGAGAGAGAAAGAGAGTTGTATTTTAACACAAAGTTAAATTGTGATGATGATGATATGAAATGAGAAATAAAACAACAACAACAACAACTTGTAAATGTTGAATGCGATTCAATTCAAGTTTGTTCAATGGTTCAACGTTTAATTCAATTCAATTCAATTCACTCATTCCATTGAATTGTCATTTGAAAGATATTGATATTATATCGCCAGTTGCTATTCGAATTGTTTTGTTTTGCTTTTTTTCGTCAATTTGATTAATTAAATGGATAAATATGTTATTGATTTGGATAAAGTTCTTGATGAGCTTGAGCTAAACGATAATTATGATGGTAATGATTCAAATAATCGTCAATCAAATGTTCAATATGATTCTACAAATAATTTAATAATCGATTTGAATGATGCTGATTTTTCTATACATTCAAAGCCGCCTAAATTTTTGATATCAAATTCATCTCCATCATCACCATTATCTAATTCTAATGATGTTTTGGTTGAACCAAACAATAATATTGAAATTTTAAATAAATCAAATCAAAAACCTGAATATGATTCTTGTTTAACTGACCACAAAATTGATGACGATGATAAAGTGATTAATGATGATCTATCTGTGATTGAGCATACAAATGTTGATTCAAAAAAATCTACTCAATCCGAAATCATTCATCAAATTGATCAAATATCGAATGATAATGAAGAACAACAAAATATTGATGAGAATGACAATTCTGAATCAAAACATTCGAATTGTTTAATCAATGAAAAACAAACCTGTGATAATGAATGTAATCTAGTTTCGAATGAAAATATTTCCGATCAAGTAGTTTTGGATGATCAAAAAATTGATGTTATCAATTTAGTTGATGAATCGACTACCAATGAACTTCAAATCACATCGGAAGAAAATGTCGACAAACCAATTGATCATTGTGAGAAGAATAAAAATGATCTTGATGAAAATACAATTGGAGCAATGAGTGAAGAAGATCTTGATCGATATCTTGGTGATTTGAATGATGATCTGGAAGAATTTGAAAACAATACTTCAATCACGAATGATTCTCAACCAGCACAACAATCCGAACCTCCAGATCGATCGATTAACGAAAACAAGGATGAACAACTTGTACAACAAGAAATCAAACAAAACGATTCGATATTGATAGAAAATGGTGATAATCAAGCAGCGATAAAAACCAGTAAAAACAATAACAGTGAATCCGAAATCACTATAAAGTCGGAACTAATAGCAAACAATAATGATGATGAAGATAATGTTGATGAAAATGAATATTGGTCACGAAAACTTGGTCTCAATGATAATGACAAAAATGAACAAAATCGTGCTATCGATGATGATGATGGTGAAGAGGAACAAGCACAACAGCTACAGGAATTGGAAGAAATTCTTGCAAATTCTAATGAGCAACAACAACCAAAACCTGTGTCGCAAACAAATTCAGAAAACAACAACCAATCTGATGAAACAAACAGAACGAATGAAACACGTGGTGGATTGGTACAGAATATCAATTATTTTGAACGTCAAGAGATGCCAAACGGTCTAACAGAAGAGGAACAAATGTTGGGTAAAGTTAGACCATTTTGGATACCGGATGAAGATGCTCAAAATTGTTTACATTGTGATGTTAGATTTACATTGATCAAACGACGTCATCATTGTCGTTCTTGTGGTAAAGTTTTATGTTCACAATGTTGTAATTTTAAAGCACAATTACCATATCTTGAATATAAAGAGGCAAGAGTTTGTCAATTATGTTATGCAATATTAATGAAAATTGAAGAAATTGAACGAATCAATGGTCACCAATTGGATATTTCAAATCATCAAAATAATGAAAATAATAATGAATCAATAGCAAACAATTCACAATCCGATCATCCACCTGATCCAAATAATCCATCCGAATATTGTTCAACAATATCACCATTGGAACAAGTTTCCGAAGCTATTAATCTACCCTTACCAACCGTAATGGTTCCTGTTGGTGTTTTAAAACGTACTAATGGTAATAATCGACGATCAAATAATTCATCATCCGATTCATCGAACAATGAAATAACAACAGTAAAACAGGTAATATTTTCTGATGGTGTTCGTCCGGGTGGTGATCTAGTCGAACAACCAACATCATCGTCATCGACTAGTAACAATACTAATAATAGTAATTGTAATATGGATGCCAATCATAAACCAGTGATTACTCGAACACAACTTCAAGTTAAATCACCATTAGCTGAAAAAATATTGGTTCCATTTGAAAATTTTTCCAAACGTTTTAAATTTAGTCGAATAGTTGTATCGGATTCTATCAATGGTCAAACATTACCACCAATTATTAATTATAATGAGCTCAAATCGATTAATTCATCATTACCATCGAAACCAAATTATGGTCAATTATTAGAAATTTTACGTGATCCACAATTGCCTTGGATTACATTTGGATTGACAAAAAATCTTCATATCAATACGAAAATTATTTCGAAAACCTGTTGCAATAGCCAAGAATGTTGGTCATTTTCAAGCAAAGGCTTGGCATCGGTTGGCCAAGATGAAATTGTCTGTGTTATTGATTGTCAATCATTACGTCGTTGTTCGATAACAGTTACAAATGATGAACGGTCACAAATTTCTTCCTCTTCTTCTTGTTCACAAAATTCATCGGAAATGTTGTTAGAATTTCCCAGAGATGTTTTACGAATGTATACTACATTATATGATAGTGCTTCCACTGGTATGTACCTCTCAAATATGATTGAATTATTGAATGAATGAATGAATGAATATCCTTTTCTCAATAATAGCTAATCTTTATATGGATCTAATGCATATATTTTTTCCTGATGGTTTGTTTAATAACAAAGAAAACAGTGGTTTTATATTTACGCGGCCAACGATGCAATGTTTACGTAACATACATCTACCACCGCCACCATTCCTAATAGCCATATTGATACATAGATGGGAAATTCCATGGGCAAAAATTTTTCCACTTCGATTGGTATTACGTTTAGGTTATGAATATAAAAGTATGTAAAAAATATTGATTTTATCATTCAAAATTGAATTGTTATTGTTTTTGATTTTTTAGTGTATCCATCACCTGTGATTAGCTATGCTAATCGTAAATCTGCCTATTTTGAAATTGGCCATACAATAATGAATGTTTTAGCCGTAAGTAATTTTGAATCCAAAATATTTTCATTATTTTTTAACATGGATTTTTTTTGGGGTGGATAGGATTTCCGTAATTTTCATTATACACTTTCAGTGGTAAAAGATTTGTTTATTTGTGTGGAACAACGAAAACGTGTTACATTGTTTGTACCAAAATTAAGTTATGAAAAAGTATGCAAAGTGTTATCCACAAGTAATGAACATGTATTGGCATTTGGTGGTAATCTTAGTCTTCGTGCTGATTCACATTTAGTTTGTGTACAAAATGAAGATGATGATGATATACATAGTCAATATCGTACTGAAATATCTTCATATCCTGGTTCATCCGAAAAATTAACCGGAGCCAGTTTTATTGTCTTTTCCGGTGTTCTTAAATCTAGTACCGGTTTGAAAGCTAAAATGAATATCGTAGAAGATGGATTATTAGTTCAAATACCACCATCATTGATGGAAGAATTTCGATCGGCCATTAAAGATATGAAAGATTTTCGTATCGATTGTTGTAAAGTAAACGATACTAATAGTAATCCAGATGAATGGATTCAACTTAAATGGGTCAACGATGAACTAAGTACCAATCTTGGGTATGTTATATTTGTTTTTTTATTCAATTTAATTCGATAACCAATTTCTACATTTTTAGGGTTCGAAGCCAAATCGATGGCCTTAATCTGGAAGGAATACAAAGTGCCCGAATATTTTCAAATCCAGATTATGCTAACGAACGTTATCTAATCCGATGGACCGAAGTTTTTTTACTTCAAATCAACGATAATGGCCGAAGGTGAATATTATCAATACTCATTAATAATGTCTAACAATTTTTTTTACAGATCAGAAGTGATCAATGCAAACAAATTGGCCGAATCGGTAGCACAAGCATTCTGTGTAGCATTGATTGATTATTTGGATCAACTTTATGAAAATGGACTGACCAAAATAAGTTTACGTATTAGTCTTGACATTGATAAGGTATTATTCATTGATTTTGATATCGATCAAATCATCATCTTATCTATAATTCATTTCAATTAGGTTGGTTATGAAAGTGGAAGCGGTGGCAAACCATTACCACCACAAATAACACAACCATTAGATGATGCTCTCATACCGGTCATAATGAGTAATATTTCTACAACAGGCATCGAAGATCCATTGGTCATTGAATTGTTATTTTTTGTTTTACTCAAATGATCAATATTTTGAATTTTGAATTTTTATGCATTTCCTTTTTTGAGCTTTGAGATTTTATTTTCCATCATCATCATCATCATCATCATCATCTTTGTCATCATCAACATCATTGAATATTTCGATATTATATTTTAAATTGTATGTCTAAATTTTTTTCTTTCTCTCTCTTGGTTCAATTCAATTCAAAAAATTGTTAAATGTTTTTTATGTGTGTGTATTTGAAAAGAATTTTTGAATGAATAAATTAATCAATTTGTTTGATTAACAACAAAAACAACAACAACAATACTGGCAGCACAAGATGAAAATTGGTTTATTTTTTTTCATTCATTCATCATTCGTTTTGCTCACCCTCGACCACTATTTTGATTCGAATTCGAACGAAAAAAAAAACATCATTCAAACAAAGCAGGGGTAGTTTCAAATAGTAGTGGCATTACTTGAAAATAGCAAAAAATTGAGTGGCGCTGTATAAAATTCTGGCTAAATACGCACATAAAAGACACGTGTGGTGTTTGTCGCTCGTGTCGGCTATAGCAACAATGAATGAGCAAAAGAAAAGAAAAGAAAACTCATTATCCTCCTCCTCATTTTGTTGTTTTTGTTTGTTTGTTGTTGTTGATTTCATTTGATTGTGCTTATGACTCGATTTAGTCCGTCTGTCCGTCCATTCGAATTGACTGCCTTTCTTTCTCTCGTTCAATGTTTTTTTGTTGTTGTTGTGTGTATATTTTGAGGATCATAATAATTTTTTTTTAATCTCTAATTTTTGTATCATTCAATTTTGCCATTTGGCTAGTCTGTTTTTGTTTGTTTATTGTGTGTGTGTGTGAGTTGAATCTTTCATTGTTTTTTTTTCACTCTTGTTACAACAAAAAGAATTATTATAGAATAATCGTGAACATTTGAGAATTATTCAATAACAATATATCATCACTATACAAAACTTAAAAGGTAAAGGTCTTCAAAAATATTGATTGATCTGTCTTGAAAATACAAGTCTATCTTTTGCAAGTCTCATCACAGCTGACAAAATTTAAAACTTTTGACATTGTTTTTATTTCCACTTTAGTTTAATCGTTACTGTTGATCGTTGCCTGTACTTGTCATTGAAACAAATGTGTTAGCAGTGAAAAAAAAATTGATAACATCATAATCTACAAAAGACTAAGGTATTTATTGATTCATTGATATTGGTCACTGACCTATTGATTATCATAATAATATGACAATGACATTTTTTTTCTAATTAAAATTAAAAGAATGGAAAATAATCATTTATCATCGAATACGAATAATTCAATATCACATTCCGCCGTCACCGAGCTTGGCGATCGATTGAATTTATTGAATGTAAACGGACGTAATGAACAACAGCTGAATGCATCAAGTCGTTCGCTTCCATCGAATTATGTGGACATATCTTTGCACAATCTTTCTTCTCGATCAAGTTAGTTGTCAATGACGTTGGCATTTTTTTAAATTGATAATGATTTCATATGTTTTGTTGTAGATTCCTCTCCCAATAATTCGGTTGTCACACCTCAAACACAGTTTTCGAAGCTCAATCCGAGCGCACAGGAATTCGTTCCACGCTCGAATCGAACAACAAATGCCAACAATTCTACGATAGTTGGTGGTGGCAATGGTGGTGGACCTTATCGACATATTTCCAACTCAAACAACCATAACAACAATCATAACTATGCCAATGGCGGTGGTCCGAATACCATTTCCGAGAATGAGAATTATATTGAAGATTATATGTCGCTTTCATATTTGAAAGATTTCATCAATCATATATCGAATAAACCGAGCATGTATGATCAAGGTATTAATGAATTAACATTGATACTCAACTCATATCTTGATGAGGATGACTGTGTTCTCGAATTGATCGTCAATCAGATCGTTGATCAGGTAGGGCTGATGTTTGTTTGTTTGTTTTCTTAGTTTTCATTGGTGATTTTGTGACAATTCTATATAGTCGATAATTGATGTAAACTTTCGTTATAATGGTGTACGTTTGTGCGATCATTTTATGGAACATCTTCGCGAAGCAAGTTCTGGTCAATCATTTAGACAGTTACTTTTCAAACGGTTCGTTTGTTTTTTTCCTATAAGAAACTATCACGAACTGATGATTTTGTTATAGAAATCAACGCGAATGTTCGAGAAAAGTTAGCGACATAACATCGGCCAACACATTTGTCCATCTGCGCGGTTTGGCATTGTTTACAGCAGAATTATATTCTCGTTGTAAAGCATCGGATCTAGCTGAACATTTGCCAAGTTTATTGATGAATATACTCTCATCCGACATTAAACGTGATGATAATGTTAAATGTGTCTGTCATGTTTTAAAGGTATGATCTTTGATGATTTTTTATGAATTTTCAAGAAAAACAAACAATCATTATCATAATTAGCTCTGTGGACAACAAATGCAGGCATATTTTGCCTCGATTGGAAAAAACGATTTTACAATTGTTTTGGCTAGATTGAAAGAAACACTCCAGTGTGATATGTCGAATTCGATCAAAGAAATGGTAAAAAAGATTCTCACGTTGGTAGAAAATGATTGGCAACAACCACAAACGGTCAACACATCCAACATTGTCAATCCATATCTAAACAATCCACAAGGAATATTGGTCGCACGTGATGGTGGTCACCATTATGTTGATAATATCAATAATCACCATCAGTATGAAACTATCTTTGTTCTATTCAGCAATCATTCTAATTATTTTTTCTAATCTCAAATTAGGTATGATTTCGGCAATTGTGGTGACGAAGATAATGCCGAAATTTGTCAGGATTTCGAAAATTTTCTCAAAAGCACTCGACAGAATTGAAGAATTTTTCCTACTTCATTTTGTCATTGTCAGCATTTGGTACGACCAACAAAAACAAAATAACACAATCCCAAAAAAAACAAACGAAATGAAAATGACTGGAACGTTTATTAAAGAAACCAACACCATCACCAAGTATACCCATACATCTTAATCTCCTAATTTTTTTTCCTATTTGCTACTTCTAAACATCGAACATTGCAACAAAAAAGACAACAAAAAGAAAAACATCAACATAGCCGCTATTCCCTTGAATCGATATCAGATAACATTAAAATAACATGAACACCAATTTTTCAATACACAATTAATTTTATGAATTTAAATTGGACATGATTTTTTTTCATGTGCAAAAATTTTGAAACCCGAAACAAACAAAGAAAACAAAAAATACCAACGAGACCACCAAATACGGACATAAAATTGATTACTGTTTGTGTTGTACTCATTTTATTGTGAATAATAAATTGATTTTAACAAAAAAAAAAAAACGCTACCCTAACTCCCTCTGCAAATTATTCTAATCAGTTTTGGTCATGCTTTTTATTAATAGAAAAATCT